ATCCTGATACAGATGTGTATAAGAGACGGAGATTGAGCAACCCTTCATTCATATTAAGGGAATTTACGCCCAGAAACTTTGTAGTTATTAATATTTTGGTTATAATAGAAAATATTCATTTTTTGGTGACGTCACACTCACATTAGTTAGCATGCATACGTCATAAGCTAGATACGTCACCTTTTCCTGGTAAGGCAAACTTTCCTGGCATGCTTTTTTCATGGGTAAACAAACACTACTGCTTTGCACATGCATGGATGCCTTGCCCAAGCCTGGGCTACAACAAGAGCCGCATTGTTAGCATTGTATAATACTTAAATAAGGTACCTCTGCAAACGAATTATTCTTAGTTTAATTTATTTCTTCCGAAAGTGTACTTTCTATCACATATAATTCCACTATCTTAGTTAGGCCTAGGCCTAGTCTTATGCCTCATCGTCCCCCGCTACACAGTACATCAGCAGCCCCTCCCCCATACAGTACAGACGTTTGCTAGGTAATAGTGATTGTACCTTCCTTTCAAGGTGTTCATGTAACATTGACATAATTGTTAGCTGACCAGTTGTGTGTATTTCTTTGTGAAAATGAGTACTGCGGCGTACTCATTTTCACAAAGCATTTGCATCCCCTCTTGGAAAGAGGGATTCAAAATAATTGTCTCCATATCTTCGCTAATTAAATTAATCACCATAATTTAGCTTACACTTATGAATTTAGGGAGCACTTAAAATGTGAAATAATCATTTCACTACCGACAAACTCCGAAATTTATTCATTCATTAGGCCTAAGTAATAGTTTATATTATAGTAATAATAGTTTCATATTGCTGTACTATATACTCCAACATCACTGGCGCATGGTAACAACCAACTGAATGCAGACCATTTCCGGTCACACATTACTCTCCATAACACAGCACCCCCTAGTTCCGTCACCTCTGGATTAAGCATTTGTATTTGATTAGACATATGACAGCAAATAGTACCTGGTATATAAGGGTTGAAAGTTCAAAATATCTGAAATTGATTATTTGGATGTGCCCTACCAGAACATATCACACAGTTCAGTGCACTTGGAAAGTCAACACCCAATGAATTATAAACTGATAACTGTATTTACTACTCAACTGTGATACTTGAGTGGATTTCACTTACGCTACATGTGAATTTTTACATCCAAAATCAAAATATAAGTGAGTATAATTAAAGCATATCATTACTTTCAAAATCTGGTCTAGACCTTAAGGACACTGAAATGCAATACACTTGGTTTATTAATCATTTTTATCAAACAAGAAAGTGTGAAACTAGTTGAGCATGTTCTGTGAAAGTGGGTCTAGGTTAACGAAACACAGAGAACAGTGTAGGCCTGCTATTACACTACTCAATTCAATTAATCTATATTGTAATCAATATAGTACTGAATACTACAGTATACTCAAATTAGCAGAATGTTTATTATCTTTATTAAACACACAAGTGATACTGTCTGACTACAAATGTAAGACTGCTGTTTTTGGAGGGGAACATACACAAATCATAGGTGACATTATGCATGTACCAAAAACGAACCACACATGAAGTGTTTATGGTTAATGTGGGGTTTAGGCCCATTCTGATCCCAAGTATTAATATTAGCCATAGCTTGGTCAAGATGCTGGCCTTCCTATCCCAGGGTCCTGGAATCAAATCCTGCCAAGTAAGTTTTCTCATGACCAAAAACAACACCCCTCTCTAAGCCTTATGAAAAATATTATGTAGCACATCATGTGTTCATGTTTCTGTTGTAAAATGGATTAATATTATATAACACAGTTATATTCAATATTGGCAACCATTAGCATATATGCATGGCTGAAATTAATATTTTTGTAATAGATGGTGATTTTATATCACTCTACCAAAAAAAAAATAATTACACAATATGATAGTAGTAATATCATCCTGGCCCTAAGAATAAGACTGTATTACTGTACTGTAATTGTGATTAATCAGGACCACACCGTAAACAATGACTTCCAACATAAATAAATAAGTAAATAAATAACATTCTAAACAAATTTCATAATATTTTTGCTTGATTAATCTGATCAAGAAAAAAACAACTAATCAAAGTTATATAATATATATAATATGTAAAACATTAAAATATTATATATAATTAATGATAATTCTTAATATTTCTAGTATTCATATTCAGTTAGAAATGTTAAAGGAAATGGTAAGGTTACAAGTTCAAAAAAATTTGGAATTAATTAAAAATAGGTACAACTGGCTTTAGAATCAATCCCATGGCTCAATGAGCATAAGTAGACAACGCCCACGTACAAACCTGGAAACACAAAATTGAATGTTAAAGACAGATGTGTTATCAATACGTACTGTAACTGATGCACTGAATTTCTGTCAATCAACATAACTTGGGTTTAAGACCTAAAGAACTACAGTATAATATATTGTGAGTACAGAACATTTTTAAAAACTGTTTTTTAGTCAGGCTAATCCCTGAGTTAAGGAATAATAACTGAAACTTAAAAAGAGGTGGTATAGAACTGGTACTAAAAGCCAATGTTTAAAAGTTCTTTAAACTTTTTCGAAATATGAAGAACATTATAATAACTGAATTCAGAGTGTTCTTTAATTTTTTGTACTATCAGCAAAAAGTGATATTGTGGATACAAACTGGGTGTTTTTTATCCTCTACTCATAACTATAATTTAATACTGTAGTTCTGTAGTCCTATACGTTCACTCAACCAAATCAATAAAGGTGCAGACAGGGTTTTTCCCAAAGTATTTAAAGGTACATCCTGATACTAAGTATAAATTCCTAATAGATACTTAATTTGTCATGCGGTTTTGTGTCAAGGGCAGAAGACTGCTAATGCACCCAATAACAGGTCAACAAAATGCATAATTTTGGATAAATCTGATGTCATTTGCACATACAAAATGGATAAAGAAGCAAAAAAAAAAAAATATATAAATACCGTACTTTAACTACCCTGCCATTGTAATAAAGTTTCTAGATTCAAAAACTTCCATTGGTCTGTTATAATATATGAAACTGTTGGTTGCTTTATGTTTTTAGTTCATTCTTCCTCTGTTCTGCCTTCAACTGCCAACATGTTTCACAAATACTTTCAACCCACAACTATTCCACTAGCAGTTTCTCACTTCTACCATTCACTTCCATGCACAACTCTTGTTCACACACTTTGCTTCCCAAAATTAAAGCCCAATTCCTGGCAAAATTTCACTAAAACATAATGTTTTTTAAAAAGATGCGTATGCATTACTCTAATTATTATAAATCATGGTAAAATTTGGCATAAATTTTAGTTTTACGCAAAAGAAAAAAAAAAGAGAAATACAGACTATTTCTCATAGAAGATTACCATTTTCTCAACGAATTCTTCGTTACTAGGCAAATTCAGAGGTTGTAGATTGCATCCACTGGAATGCTCTTGCTTTTATGTATACTTTATACAGTCAATAAAGTGTGCCCTCTCTAATGGGATTAGTTTTTGGTACTTCGCATCTCGCACAATGTGGTTGTTCGAGTATACGGCCTGAGAAATGTTTGTTTAAGTGTCAAAATCTCGGTCAGAATCAGTTTTTAAACAAATTTTAAATAATTCCTATGAAATATATTTCACAAGTGTCAATACTAGAAACGGAAAATATCATGTCGGCCGTTTTTATGTGTGATAACAGAACATAAATCAAAGTAAGGCTAGGCCTAGCCTAGCAGTGTTGGATAGGCTAATGTTTTCGGCGCCTACTATATTTCTTCGCAGACCTATCGCAAAATCAAACATAAAAATTCATCTGCATTTCAGTCTTATTTTACATTGTTTCATGTTTAGGAATGTCTAAATTCAGTTAAACTAGCAATTCCGTATTATATTTATAAACATAATGTTTATAAATCTGTATAACATATAAAAAATCAGATTTTTCCTAACATCTGAAATTTTGGGGCAGGGGGTTTAAGCCCCCATTGGTCTGGTCAAGCCCCTCCTATCGGCCAAAGCTCTTCGGGTGGTTGGTCACTATAGTTACAACCATAATACTTAGCCCCCCCCCCCCTATAAATTATATCCTAGAGTCGCCACTGCCGCCAGGCGCAGTGAGTGCAGACTGGCTTTAACTTTAACTGCTTAGGGTACATTATTCTCAGTATTTCAGGCAACTTATGGACAATATGGAATGATTTATTTCTTTAGATTATTTTTAGTAGAAACATGGAGAAACCTGGAAGTGATGTAAATGACATAATGACAGAGGCTGATATTATACACAGAATTGATCATGACGAACATGTTGGTAAGCTATTTCTATTCAGTAAATTTTTTTTATGTATTAGCCATAAATATATAAATATTTGATGGTATATTTATGGGTGAATCTGTATGCCCCAAGAATTCTGAAAACAAGGGTCAAATGATTAGAACCACAAAGAGGTCTGTTAATATGTAAGTACTGTATAAATTGGTTGAGTGGGTGGGTAAATGTGTAGATAACAAATTTCAGGAATTCATAGTAAAAAGTAACTAAAACTGGTTCTGCTCATTGGAAGAAGTTGGTAACATATGTGGTGGTGACAAAGGGGAAACAGTAAACAGAAGTAGCATTGGCCATTTTGAAATATAAGCCAAAACAATGGTAGAGGTCAATATTTTCACAAATCAAGTTTTCAACAGAATCATGTAGTTTAAATATTATATAATCAAATTTACTCAACAGTTACTTTTATTATTTACCTTAATATACCCAAAATCATGATTTTAGGGAGCCGCTATAACCCGGAAGTATGAAAAATTACATTTTGTTTACCCTATAAAACACTCGCGAAATCATCCTTACTTCCAACCACGTTTTAAAGCCAGCCATGCCATGTTTAGCATCAATCTATTGTGATATCCTTTATTTTCACCAATTAAAATCAGGTTCTTTTCATGTATAAAAACCCAAGCTCTTCTTGACAACAACTATGAGAACGGCCCGATGATTGGTTGATTTGATTATTTTGTCATTTTACTAATCATTGCACATGCTCTGTGGGAGCGTGAACACTTCCTCCTTTATTTTTTTCATACAATTTCGGTTTAATAATAATTTAAATTTAAATATAACAGTAAGTATATAATTACTGAATGTGTCTTTTTGAATGAATTACGTTGAACTATTGTGATCACATTTTGCTCAGAATTCACACAGGAACTAAGCCTAGTAATGCTATAGCCTACTACATATTTTAGTGATATCGAATCTTCATGAGACTTGGCAAAATTATTGGAAATATTATAAACAACAAATGTGCCAAATATCAGCAGATTTAGAATAAGTTAAATCCCTGTTACTAAGGAACAAAGTAAGTTACCCGGAGCAGCGAGTCCGCTAGGCCAGTAGCGCGCGGTTTAAACGAAGACGATGTTCATCATCGTTTTTCTCACGCTTTTCGCAAACAAGACACAAATTTTGATATTAAAACAATCATAACTTTGTTAAGTACTTATCGAATAAGATTGATTTTTTAGAATTCCTATTGATTCAAGTGATTTAAACTCAAAACTTGTTTTTCCGACTTCCAACTATTTCCCATTGTCGCCGCCACATATATTAATAATTTCACCTGTGCAATATTATATTGAGGGTTTCTGACTTTACTTAAGCATACCTTTAAGTGTTTATTTTTATGTTTTAAGGATATCTTGGGATAAAACATGTTCTCCTTTCTTGTGTTTTAGTCCTGGGAATACAAGAGGTACTTACAATTACCAATGACTTGGATCTACTAAGAACAAATACAGAAGAACAACAGGAGTTACTGCAAGAATATGCACACAAGAATGAAGAATTAGAAATAAAAATTATACAAATGGCAACAAACATTACAAGCCTAGAAACTGAAAATGTTGATCTACACCTAAAAATTGAGGAATATGAAGAGTTAATAAAGAAGTTGCACGATGATTTTGAAGAAAAAATTAAACAAAAATCTGATAAAAATGATGATTTAAGAATCGAAAATGATTCTTTAAAAAAATTTAAAGGAGAGGAAGTTAATGAGAGGGAAAAAGTACGAAGTGGTCTGAATAATGAAATCAAGCATTTACGCAATCAAAAGGAAGAAAAAGAAAAAGAAATTAGAGAGATGAAACTTGAATGTGAAGACCTACGTACTGACTTAAAGAGAAGTTTTCGAAGAGGCGTTTCAAAGGAAAGGGAAAATGAAACATTAAAAGCTGGGAATGTTAAAATAAATGAACAGAAGAGAGCAAAAGATAAGACAATTCGAGAACTATCAAGTAAAGACAAAAGAAATAGAGATTTGATAAAAAATATTGAAGAAGAAAATGATAATTTAAAGAAACAGATTAGAGAATTGGAAAGGAAAATGAGAAAAGTGGAACAGGAGCAAAAGTATGCTACCAGAAAATTGAGAGAAGAAAATGACACAGCACAGACAAATAATGAGAGGAAAATTCAAGAAATATTAAATAACGCAAAAGAAAATGAAGATTGCTTGAAAAAAAGTCAAAAAGAAAATGAAAACCTTAAAGAAGAGCATAGGGAATTAGAACTAATTATGAGGAATGAGGTGAAAGAGCAAAGGCATGCCAACAGAAAGTTACGAGAGGATTTTGAAAAAGCACAAACAATGAAAGATAGGAAAATCAAGCAATTAAATGGTGAGATTGTTACATGTGGAAAATTAAGGAAAGAAGCAAGGGTTAAGGTATTCAGATTGAATATGACAATTCAATTTTGTCTAATAATTAGTGTTATATTAATGGTTTTGCTTTTTACAATTGTTTAAGTTAGCAGTCACAATTATTATTAAAGATGGTCCAACATAACACAGATCTTAATTGTAGACATAAAAGATTTAATATCAAATGCTTTATGTTTGGAATATTTCAAAACCTGAATAGTTTCTCATGTAGATAATTATGATTAAATTATATGATGTAGATGATTAAATAAAAAACAAAGTTTGTTGCCCAAGTTCAACTGACCAAAGTACTTGTATTATGTATGGAAAATATATTTTTTAAGATTTAATAATTTGGATAGCTTAACCATGGTTTTTAGCCTGGTGGTTACCACTCTACCACAAAAACTGCATGGGGAAAGGGATGGGTAGGGATAAAAACCTGATTTGCAATGGTCACTCTGCTTGGACAACACAAAAATTATTTTTTATGGCATTATGATACATTATTATGAAGTGGATGATTATCATTCATTAATCTGAGATTTATAATTTACTTTATCAATCATTATTACAAAGTTATTTTTTCTCTGTTGTACAACTGTTTATAATTGGTGTTAAATCATTTTGGAAATAGTGCTTTATGAATTAAATCAGAAAATTATTTACACAGAAAAATGTTGAGTGACCAATCAGTGGTCAACTTTTGCTAAACATGCAGGACAACAACAGACCACTACTGTATATGTGGAGTGCAAAGATTAATATCATTACACACAAGTGTGTAAATAGATTGCACTCTGCAACAGAATGTTTTGCTGCAGTTTTGTGCCGCCCTGTGTAAATAGACAAGACTAGGAACATTTTCCATAAGGAGCTACCTCATGCTCTCCACAATAAATACCAAAGGCAGCCCTTTGAAAAACAAGAGTACTGTACAGTATATAATAAAGTTCTAGTATATGTATTACTTAAAGTACACAAATCATTCCGGCACTCGGAGTGCCCTTTGTGTCCTTCTAGTCTGACGCCGCGCTTCCAACTCCCTAGCCCAAGCCTCTTCTTTGGCAGCGAACTGGCCAAAGAAGAGGTCCTCTGCCCCAAAAGAGGGGCAGTCTAAAAACCGGTCAAAATGACCGGGGCTGACGGTCGTCGCCCGGAGCACATTAGCCCTCCGGGCTGCGTCGGCAGCCTGGGCGATGGAACTAAACTGGTCCGAAATAAGGCCAATGCCCGCCCGAAGGAGGCCAATGGCGTCCGGGACGAGAGTTGGGTTAGCATCAGCGTCAGACAAGAAGGACAAAGCAAACCCCGCCCCATTCACGGCGCGAATGCCCTCCCGAGCCGCGCGGTCCACAAAGGCCAAAGCCTCCTCAGCCGCGCCCTGAGCCCTCAAGTGTATATAATATTGCTCAAAACTCTGTAATATATTAATTTTTCATAGTCTCAGACTAATAAATTATTAGTAATTTTATCTTCTTGGATACTTTATTAGGCTTAAACAATTTGAAACTTATAACAGTACTGGTATCTAATAGCTACCATTTTCAAATGAGTGGAATCCTGAAAGTACTACATATCTCCAGACTGCTGACTGATGGTAGTGTATTTTAGATAATTACTAGTAGCAGGCCTACATTGTACATTTTGTACATTGGTACAAAAATACCAATTACAGTGCACCCTCCAATTTGAGAACACTTTTTCAAAGAACCAATTAACAATCTTCAATCTATCACTAACACTAAACAAACTCCGTATGACCGAACCATGAGACCATCCTAAATTTTCAAGTCCCAAAGGTGGTCTTGTATTGGAGGGCAAACTGTATTGTAAATATATTCAAACATATTTATATTTAATTTAATCTTTATAGAATGGCAATAAGATAGTTAATTTTATAACACACCTAAAAATAGATCCTTGTCATTTGATTGGTGGATATTTACACCAATTTGTCACTCACCATGGAAATATAGTTCCACCGTGAATTTTTAGTTCCATCCATGCATTTTTATTTCCATCTGTTTCTCTCTATTGGATGCCTCAATCTAATACAATCTTTTCATTGGTTAAAAAGATGCTGAACTGTTCTAATCAGAAAAAAGGTAGATTTCTTCATAAAATATTGAATGACAAAAATCTATTTTAGTTGTGTTATAAAACAAAAATAATTAATGTTTTTTATTCAACATATATGAATATTTTCATTCGTTTAAAAAATGACTGTTTCATTCAACTCGGCTCCACCTTGCTGAATTGAACAATGAATCCTTCAATTCATGAAAGTATTCTTCCCATTGCACTCACAAACATTTATTATTTGTATAATATAAAAGTGGAGAAGGTGTAAGGTACAATACCAATCATTCTGATTACTATAGAAATACACCTTTATTTTATTATATTTTATTATTATAAGTTATTAGAAGTACTAAAGGCATTCAACTATATGGCCTTGTACATAAGTCCAAGATGTTATAATCCATATTATATATCATAGCTGAATTTATATTTAATAAAGAAAGACATTCACTGAAATATTCCTAACTTTGTTCATTATTTTTACACGAGTTTGCATCATCATCATCATCAATATTATCATGATCATGATCACATCACAATCACTATTATAACTATAGTCATCACTATCAACATCACCATCATCATTATCTAAATTTTGTTAATAATTTTTACACAAGTTTGTACCATCATCATCATCATCACAATAGGTTCAAGGTATGATTTTGGAGAAGATGCAGTGTGGAACAGGCATAACGTACCGTATAAGGCAACGATTTTTTTGTAAGATTTTTGTATGTCGGGCACATAAGACGACCTCCCACCCCCTCGTTTCATGGTTCTGATACTGCATGTAGCTGGCTAAAAACAGAGCCAAATGCAAGACTAATCTTCTCGATAATACCATTTTATGAGTGTTTCGATCGTAATTTGCTATTTTAAGCCTCGTCATATATGGGAGCATATACGGTATGGAATATGTGTAGCTTTGATGAAGGCATGGGTATGTAATGTGTATGGTTGTGGGGGAGAGAGTATTAAGCTCTTTGACAAAAAAATGTTATATGCCCATATATAGTCAGGATGTGCCTATATATGGTGATGATGTGATGTCATCATGACCATATTTAGGCATGTCACATGTTTTTGTCAAATAAAAATTGATAGTGTGGACAGGACTTAACTGGCAATTTTCTGATAACTGTATCGACCAATTTCAATTAGTCATTATTATTCCTCTGCAGATGCTATAGCCAATGGGGGGGGGGGGAGCTTGACCTGTCCGGTGGGCTTAAGCCCCTGCTGCCGCCCCCTCCACCGCTGGCACCACCACTGCCTATGTGATCATGGCGTGATGTCATCATGTATATAAATTTGATAGCCTGGACAGCATTTTATTCCGATATTGCCTATGACAAAAACATGAGATAATTAAATATATTATTTTCAACAATTTTTTAAACAAAAATATAACTAAAATTAAGCTGTATTGATTTGAACATAATCACCCATCATCGCACAACACAATTTCCACTAAACAAACATAGAAATGCTTTTTGATTTTTATTAATTCTTAAATAATACAAATATCATTTTAATGGTAATTAATAATGGAGCTATAGCCTAATGATTATATGTTTAGGCAGATTTCTGAATTTTTAATGTTATGTCTATAGTTATTTATTGTTGCAAAATTTAAGAGTTTTAAACATATTTTCACTCTTCTTTACTCCTGGTAGTTTTCCACTACAGTATTGCAGCTCAAATTGTTTGGCTCATAAACCACGTACATAATTTTATAGATTTATAAAATAAACACATAAAAATGAATAATACATACAGTAGATATGGTGATTATTTTTAATGTCTGCCCATCTATAAGTAACAGCGCTCATAAAATAATGCTAGGAAATTCAAAAGTTATTATAATGGGTACAAACAGTAGACTCTAAGCCTGCGTATGAAAATCTTGGCACTATGTACTTTGGCACTATGCCAATTACAATATAATTGTTACAAATTATGCAGCATTTATTAAATTATAGCTAACATAAAATAAATCATTAGTAATAGTATTTATTTAAAGATAAAAGATGAATAGTGTAGTATTTTACTTCATTTGTATGCTTTAATTGTTTGAATAAAGTTTGTAGTATAGAATCCATATGGTAGTGATTAGGTTCCACATGATTAGCAATCAATTAAATAGTACAAAAGAGTTGTGCCAGTAAATGACAATTCAGAGTTCTGGTGAGCGTTGGGGCACAGTAGTGCTAAATTATGGCTGTTATATCATCAAGGATTAAAGTGAGTAGTTTCAAAACCATCCTACTTTATTAATTTCTACTTTAGTGTATTATTGAAATATTATTCAATAACCATATAACCTTGAAATGATTTGAGGACAGTTACAATGGGTATGAACTGTGCACAAACTGTATTAAACAACACTTAAATTCAATTTAACAAAGTATATGTTTTCTGAAAGCAATTGATAGCGCATTGGTGATACGTCTTCCTGTTACTAAAATTAGATGGGCATTTCCCAATTTAAAATATAATCGTCACAAGAAATTTCAGTGTAGCTTCCATGTTCAGAGGTATGGTCTAGCTTCAATTAATAATTATATTATTATGTTCACTTTTTAGTTGTTTTCATTCTGGATTTCGCAGCTATAGTAGGACACAAAATGCTACAATCGCCTAAAGTTTTAGAAGGTTCTTCCAATGTCTGCCAAAAAGATGTTGAAACTAGTAAGAAATCAATCTGTCATCTGACTTTATTTTGTGTGTTGTTATCATTTTATGTTGATTGTTTGTTTTGTAACTGTACTACTTTGAAAACTAGTAGTTTAAAGAATGAATAAATAAATAATGTGGATTGGTTCTTCCAGCTTAAATGAGACAAAAGCTATCCCGTGGACACATCCGGGCGGACATAGAGCTGTAATAATAAAGTAATCAAAAAGTGATTTAGTGAGCTTTAGTAAATTGTACACAGTACCTAAAACATAATGTCAGCACAATCATATTTTGCAGGGATAACAGTTTCATACAAAGTTTCCAACAAATGGTCTATCAAAAACAAAACTTTATTAATAAATCATTGTATTTCAAATAAATAATTGATATAGCATATATAAAATAAAGGTAATTTTTTTAAAGAAAAATTACAAATAAGAAAGTATAATACTTACTCCAAGTATTGAAATACACGCCATCGTGTTGGGATTCAATATTTTGACATTAATTATGTCATCATCAGGAATATGATGACATAATTAATGTCGAAATATTGAATCCCAACACGATGGCGTGTATTTCAATACTTGGAGTATGTATTATACTTTCTTATCTGAGATTAATCAGTGGACCTTTCGGTTTTTTTTTATAATTACAAAGAAATGTATGTTCAAAACCAAGCTGACTTTAGAGTTAATGAAAGAACAAAAAAACAATGTATGTTTAAAATTTAAAACTTTTGTAGAGTACCTTGTAGTTAAATGCAAATGTTACATATTTATAAGCTTTGTTTATCATTTTACTAAAGATAAACCACAGACAAAAAAATGGGAAATGGATCAGATGTTGGAAGTTGAAACGAGAGAAAATTCAAGACAAATGATGAACACATTAAAATGCTTGGAGGCTCAGGTAATGAAGTTATCAACTGAAAATAAGGTATTGCAAATGGAAAACATTTATCTAAAGGAAACCAAAAGCAAGGAAATCGACAAAAGTAAAAGGAAAACAATTCAAATGAATGAAAAAAACTGTGAAAATGAAGAAAAAAACCGTGAAATTGAAGACCTGAAACATGAATTAATGAAAGAGTCAATGAGGATGCAATTACAAGAAGAAGAAATTTTGAAACAAAATTATTAGACACTATTTCGGAGTTGAAAAAGAGAAATGGAGAGCTACTGATCCATGAAGAGAAGAGAAATACAGCCTCAGTGATGAGTCAAGACAAAAGTAGAGAAATACCAAGAGAGGCAGAATTAGAAAATAGAGAGACAGCTGATAAAAAACAATACAATGTACACTCGTTAGTACATGGAATGTCGAGAACAACTAGTCAAAAAGGATTGGAGGGATCAGAGAAAAGTAATGGCGTCTGCAGAAAAGTTACAGCATTCTTTATCAACTTCACAAGATTTTTTATGGAGACTGTGGGTTATCCTTTATATGGTGATGAAAATACTCAAATATGGCAGAGAGGAGGACAACAGAGTGGTGGAGGAGAAGATACATGGTGTGAATTCTTCATTGCTTATTATAAGCAACTTAAGACTTACTTCACTGGAACAGGGTCATGAGAATATTTATTCTTGTAAATATCAAAATTATTGTGTAACAGTAAACAATTATAAATATGTAAAAACAAAACAATGATTAACAGGGAAGATTTTTAAGCCAAGCATTCACTGCGTCGTATGACTGTAATTGATCAACAAATGCCAATTGGCTCCATGTGAACGTTAGATGAAAAAATGTTGCTTGCCGATTCTTGGTGGCTGTCTGATCGGATTCATCATTAAATACGATGTTGCACGCACATTGCTGAGTTGCACTTTTACATAGAATCGCGTCAGGCAGAGAGAGTGCCTAGCTTTATGGCACCATTGCATCTGATTTAACAAAATGGTAACAATTTGACTGAGAAAATAAGAACAAGTAAGAAATAGAGAGAATATGAAATTATTGAAAAAAACAAGTCTAATGATTGAGCGGCTAAGGTAGATGCGACGCAACCTACAGCCATAATATCAGTGTTACTTCGAACTGTACGTTCGCCTGTTGTTCTAAAGGTGGAACCAAGTCTTCTTGGATAAGACAATATAAACCGTAGGCCCAGTGTACATAATTGACTAATATGTAACCTTTTTTCGAGATGAGTAGGGGTTACCCCGATGTACTGGTCCATACAGCCCGTTATCTTGTGACCGGGATTGCCACTTTGAAGAGTGATTTTAACCGTAGTTCACTGTTTGGCATATTCTTGGTCCTAGTGCCTAAAGCTGAATACATAAAACAACAAATATTCATCATCACCACCACCACCATCATTAAAGTTTTTCAGTTTATCAATATTACTGCACATATAATTTAAAAAAAATTATTTAGATCATATTCAATGCAAAAATAAGATTATAATTATATATTTAATGAATAGGAGTAAATGGAAACATTATTTATTACAGTATTCAACCATTTTCAATTGTATATAATTATTGCCTCAACTCTGTTATTTTATTATATTTTATAATATTTAAAGTTTCAAACTAAGTTATTGTTATTAATGTTTTATGTTCTTTGGTCTTTTTTGGGGGGGTAAGTGCTTAATGATCTTACACTGTGCTATCCCTTCAAAACTCACCCTCAAATGTATATAATATTGCTCATACTACTAAATTATTGGTAATTTAATTTTCTTGGATACTTTATTAGGCTAGAACAATTTGGAGCTTACATAACAGTACTGATAATACAGTATGATGATGATGATTATTATTAATATCAACACTATCCGTTACTGTAATTGTCTACAGTGTTATGTCACGATACCATGTGATACTACTCCGTTGCTATTGTTGCAAAATGAATTCAACCTGACACCATTTTCTCAACTGACAAACCATTGGTGATCCCAATTTCTAATGTAATTATTAAGATGTATCTTACTTCTTCTTTGTAAATTTTAACTGATGATTAAATGTGTGTTCGATAACTAATATAATGCAAGCTTTTGTGTTTTTAGTACATTTTCATGGTAAAATATTAGATTTTAAAATGCCTATTCCAGAGAGCCTATGAAGTCATTCAGGCATAATGAATGGTAACCAACATCTTTTGACAACAGAGAGTGCCACCTGGCGTCGTGACGATACGACTGCGGTACTCTATAGCATTTTGTTGTACTGTATTTTCATTTTTATATTCAGCCATGAAATTTCCCGTAGTGGGATGAATAAAGTCTCATTGTAGTCTAATTTATATATCTTTGTAAATTAAATACACAAAGTGGATCACTGAAATATTCTTAATTTTATCCATTAGTTTGCATCATCATGACCATGCAATTGTTGCACTGCATAGCAGTCCCTGACACAATCGGGATGGCTTCCCGATTCGACCAACTAATCAGCATCACCGAAAGCTGTCAGTGATAGTGTGTAGCGACTGTATGGAAACCAAGCTTCAATCATTCACGATAACCATCATGATCATCATCACAATAGGTTGTGAAGAAGATATGGTACTATGTAGCAGTGGGTGTATGATTGTCGGATAGACATAAGTATGAATTGTGTAGCTTTGATGAGGGTGTGTTGGCTATGTAGTAGTTATAGATGTGGAATAGACATTACATGGGTATTGTCTTATTCTTTATTTTCTTTTTGTCAAATGACAGATTACAATACACTGTAATCAACAATCTCAATTCTGAACAAATTTATATGGCATTAACATTCCATACTCAACCACCAAAATGCACATACACTGTTTTAGTTTAAAAAAAAAGTGATACTAATTTTTTTTTTTACAAAAAATACTGTATAATTTAAATTATTTTAAAGTGAGCATAAGATCTTCATCCACCCACCTTCATAATAAAAAGTTATTATTTAATAAAACATTAGTGTTTAGATTGTTACTTATTAATTCTCAATTATTAAAAATAATTATCATTCAATAATAATAATAACAATAAAAAACACAACCTCTATTTTATAAAACAATATAAGAAATGACAACAGCACTTTTAAGACTAAATTGTATACAATTTTTATATAATATATATTTTATATAAGAGCACAAATAATCCTATTTGAAATTAGAAATCAAACAAGGTGTTAGGCCTGCAAGGGTGCCCTCTAGAACTGATTAACTTGGAACTTTGCCACATACCATATTTGTCTACAAGGTGTGTTCCACAGCTAAACAAAATCAATAGTGATTCTTATAACAATTAAACATGAATGATGTACTTCTTGCTCAGTTTATACGTTATGTTATGTATGCTGGTTCTGTGGTGGTAAATCATATCCCATGGCAATTATGCTTTAAAAAAATTATCAGCAGCATGTCATGCATCAGTGAATTTATGACATCAATATAGCATTCCACCACCAGCCCAGTTAGAGTGAGCATCACATTGTTTTATATTTTTGGATCGTGAACCACATAATTAGGTGAGTAGCATTTAAACCTTTCTTATTTACAACACTTAAATAATAATGAAATAAAAAAAACCTTAGCAGTATATATTTCTGAACTACCAATATTAAAATGAATGATTCTATTCAACCATAATTTAAGACAGGTGATTATTTTTATTGTCTACCAATGGCTACCTGTAACAATAACACAAGCATATCCTATGCAATTAAACCAGCAAATTCATACACAGTTTTATAAGGTAAATAATAATGGCAGGAAACTTAGGAGTATTAAAAACTTTTAAGTCTATGAGTAAAAAACATTATAGAGACATTAGGGTTAAAAGGAAAACAAAGGTGACAAGTGCTATATATGTACTGTACTGTACTATATAATAATATAAAAATAGCTTGGGTATTTCCAAGCTAATTCTAAATCGTCACATTTTCGTATACAGAGCTGCAATGAACAACTGTGGTCCTTCCCTTTTCTGTTCTTGTTATTCCACTTTAGTTAGTATTTAAGTATGTTTTAGTGTAATTTGTTTATGTCTCTCAATGTTACTTCGCAACTTGGAGAAAGAATTTAATACTGCATTTATTGTTTATGACAATAAATTAATCTAAATCTGAATCTTTACTAGGACACATTATGCTACCAGAAGTGCCTGAATGCTGGGAAGGTATGCCCCTTGCAAGAGTCAGTATCAAGAAAGATGAACAAGATGGTAAGAATGTGATATCTACAGCCATTACAAGTACAATTACACTTGTATGGTGATGACTATTACCCATTATTTAAATGATTATTTTTTCACAAATGGTGCATTGTTTTGCATTTTTAATCACAGTATGTCAATAAAAAATGTTTCCTGGTGCCTGTCACTAAATGCTGTAGATTTCAATTATATTATGTATTAACAGGTGAGTCGAATGGCTGAGCTGGGATGCCGCAAGCTATAGCCATAATATCGGCGCTGGTTCAAACGGCACACTCGCCTATGGTTCTGGTGATAGAACGAGTCCTCTCAGATAAGGACTATTAACCTGTAGGCCCAGTGTATATAATGGCTCGTATGCACTATAAAGAACCCAGTACATCCTTTGAGATGAGTAGGGTGATACCCCGGTGTACTGGAACAGACAGCCTCTGTGGTGGACGATGAGAGTTGCTGGTACCGGGTTACCGGGTAGCACAGACACGAAGGGACCCTTAGGGGCAAAGAAAGTCATTGATCGAGTTCCTAGTCCACATATTAAGCGCCCTAAGCATCTTATGTTAGATGGATATGTGTGCTATATAAAACTACACTATTATTATTCAAAAATAGAAATATAATTCTAAAAATATACTTTATAAAGAAATAAAAATAAAACTGAAATTACAACAGAAATATATTATTCTTGATATCTCTAGAATAAAAAAAGCTATAAAAACAATTGATTAAAAAAAACCCCACTAAAATTAAGTATTGTCTTAAATTTCCAAAAATATTAACCTGGTAGTTATTAAGTTACAATTTTGATATGCTTGTTTACAATTCTATAGGTGCACCAGATATTAGAACACTGGAAAAAGAAACGGACGAAGGATTGTTGGAGGTCAAAAAAGCGATAGAAGAATTGAAAATTCAACATAATCTAGTGGATGAGAAAATAATGGAGTTTCGAGTAATAATCAAAGAAGTGGAACGATGGTTGGATGTGGTCAAAATGAGAGAACAATTAGAAACTGAACGTAAGCTAATGGAAAACAAAACGAAATGCCTGGAAGACACAATCAAAGTACAAGAGGAACGCATTCAGAATCTGCAAGATCTTAAAACAGAAATTGAAAAAAAATCAAATGACAATAAGGTATTGCGAATGTCCAATTACAAGCTGGAAAAAACTAAAAGAGAGGAAATTGAAGAACGAGAAAAGGTAACAACAGAGTTACATGAAAAAATCATTGAAATACAGGAAGTAAAACATGCAAAAGACACAAAAATTAGAGATAAAAATCGTGAAATAGATGATCTGAAATTTGAATCTAGAAAAGAGTCATTTCGGATGCAAGCGATAGAAAAAGAAATTTCTACATTAAGGGAACAGATTAAAGCTAAGGATCGGCAAAGACGAGATTTAAATGAAAAGATCAAGAGGATGGAAGGACAGATGAGACAACTAGATGAGGAAAAAAGAGGTTTGAGTGAAAAGAACGAGAAGATGACAGAACAAATAAAACAAATGGAAGAGCAAATAAAAGATATGTATGTAAAGAATAAGAATATTAAAGAAGAGTTGCATGTTTTGGAAAAAGAAAAGAAGAATCAAAATGAAACTATAAAGGAGTTGAAAGGCCAGATTAAACATCTAGATAAGAAAATTGGAGAGCTATTAATCAGGGAGAGGAAACTTACAGCCTCATTAAATGCGATGGCTGAGGACAAGAATAGGCAAACAACCAAAGTCATAGAATTAGAAACCTCACTAATGAAAGAGAAAAAAACCCACAATGAACAATTGAGGCAAAGGAATAAAGAACATGAAAAATTAGTAATGAGTAAAGATGGAAGAATTAGGCAATTGTCAGAAGAAGTGCAACGCAAGGAAGCTGAACTAGAGGCTACTGGAATTTATATTGGATTAATACCGTTTTCTTTCATTATCCTTGTTTTGGTTTATGCATTTTTCCAATAAATTTCTGTGGCAGATTTAGAGGGAGAGAGCATAAGGTTTACCCCCTTTCTATTTTTATAAAAAATATTTTGTAATGCTTATCAGGAAATTACAATGTTAAATAGTAAAAATCAATCAAATACCAAATCAAATTAATGAAGGTACTAGAGGTTTAAGGGGGATTCACTCCCCTTACACCTCTACCAGGGGCTCTTTCCTGAGACTCCCACTTAGTTTGCACATTCATACCCCATCCCTCCCCCTTTTTCATACCAGGCTGGGTCCTCCCCTGAATTTGGCTACTTATGTTGAGTATCCAGGTCCAGTTTTGTAGACTTAAGGCATTTCAAATGGAGTTTAACATGGTAGTCTAGATGGATACTGCCTTCCAGTTTGAGCATAATTTTGTGTCATGGTACTTTTTCTTCCAATCTCAGGGTACGGTCCAACCTTGCCAACTCAGGAATTATATAGCCTCATGCTGAGACTAGTACAGTATATTGATATTCAATTACAAAAAGTATTTTGTTTGATATAAAAATCATAAAATATATAATTCTAAATGGAATTAATATTTTTGTGGTGATTAAATTCCATTCATTATTATTTCAGAAAATGTTTTCCTAAAACAGTAAGTTTAAACCTGTTATATTTGTACTCATTTATTTATTGCATATGTACTGTAAAGAATAATAATTATTAGGAATTAACTACTAATACATTCATCATCTGGACGATATTATCATACCGTACCGAGAACTGTCTCCTTTATTAAGTGTAGTATTCAATCAATAAAACTTGGTAGAAGAATAAAAGCACAAGCAGTGCAGTGGAAATTATCAGAGCCCAACATACTGCCAATGTCAACATTTTATTTTCATTACAGTAATACTGCTTTATATGCTATAAATCTATTCACTCTATTGTATAATTATTATTTATAAATTAAACGTTTTTTTAATTTTGACTGCAGCCATTATTAATATTATTGTATAATTATTACTTATAAATTACATTAATTTAGAGAGAGCTGTTCAGCTCAGTCGGCTAAACTGGTGGTAGCCACTGTGTGTGTGCGCTGAACCGTAGAGATCACTCTGCTCCCCTTGTATTTCAGCTAGAGCGCTGGAATGCAAGTTACAATAGCGCACCGTCTTTCGGATGAGGCGTTTAAGTCGTTGATCCTGTGTGCATTATGGCCCATGTGCACGTTAAAGAACGCAGTACACTCTTTGGAATAGAGTAGGGTATTGCCTCCTGGTGTACTGCCCAATTACCACCAATAGGATTCCAATGGAAATAAGTCTTCTAGAATTTTGTGGGTTATCCTTGGTATTTACACCGAATAATTCCAATCCAACCCCTACTGTATTCATGATCTATCATACAGTAATTCCATCTTGTAGGTTTTTTTTAACTTGAAATTTAAAAAAAAAACAGATAATACATACATAAAAAATGCCATGTGACATATTAATTTTATGTACTTAAAAATAACGTACATATTTAGAGTTATACAGGCTAAGGATTATGTTTGTATCCATTACATGTTGTAGTTAAATTTGGGCGGGCATACTTGTGTCACTAGAGGCCCAGCCCAAGTTTCAGGTTTCTAATTTAAATGAGGAATTATTGTGGTGCAGTGTGTAAGGCGTAAGACTTTCAATCGGAAGGTCGGGTTCACACTGCTCGTGTCCTTGGGCAAGACACTTTATCTACATTTGCCTCTCTTCACCCAGGAGTATAAATGGGTACCTGGTTGGAGGTGAATGATTTGGAATGAAATTAGTAGTGCTGATTACATGCATAACTAGGAATACTCCCAAGGGAGCGGAGGAGGTTGCACGTTGTGTACGATTGATTCTGTCTCCCATGACCAGGGAAAATAATATATTATTACTTGTTACAAGTTTTCAATGTTTGAAATAAATATCACATAAACATACCATATTTTTTGTTTCATCGACTTCTTTTGTAAGATGATATTTCAAGTATTTTTTTTTTATATAATAAAGTGATTTTTCAAAAAACTTTAAACATCAGATGTGTGACTGAGGATCAGTGGCATCTACAGGAGTCTTGGGGGGGGGGGGGGGGGCACATTCTCCCCTACCCAAAAAAAAGCTTGCACCCCACAGGAACCCCACTGAAATTTTCCAAGCAAAAAAGTATGCAAAATTGGTTTTTAAAAAAATGGGGGAATAAAATCTCACCATAGCGCTGCCACTGGAAGGGGTTTATTATCTAAAATAGACTCACATTCACAAATAGTAACACCCTCACACTGGATGTCATTCTATACACAACATATGTTCAATTGCTGAATTTATAAAAAGAGTATGAAAAGTTTTCTGTACCACTAACAAAATCATGCTGAAAATTAAAGCAGTCATTCCTTAGAGTGCATACCTCCTAACTATACTGAACAATACGCAGGCCATGTATTTTGGGCCATTCCATTATTTTCTTTTATGATTGAGGTAAAAAAAAAATTAAAAAAAAAAAAAAAAAATCAAATTTCTGCGACTTTGACCTTTGAACTTTTATTCCCAAAATTAACCATCTCTTTTATTATACAGTATTATATACCATTCCAGTAAATTTTATGATGATTATTAGTTTTTGTGTAATCTTGGTAACAGACAGACAGCGGTAAATACAGTACATAACCTCCTTTGGCAGAGGTAACAATTATTGTGGATTTATTTAGTCCAAAAAGAACCTCTGTATTTTTAAACTTGATACTGAAAGGATATAAAATGAGTGGAAAAGAAGCAGTGATTAGAGATATGATGTCATCATGACCATATTTAGGCATGTCACATGGTTTTGTCAAATAAAATTTGATAGTCTAGACAGAACTATAATGTTGGGCAACACACTTTTCCAACATTGAACATGCAGTTGCAAGGTATCGTTTTTAATACGGTTTATAGTGCTTTATTATTAGGCAAGTATTGTATGAGTACTTAATGTGAATCTTAAATTTATATTGGTAAACAAGCACATTACAGTTTAATAAAATGATCATTTTCTCTAGTTATTTTATGACAGAATGTATTTCTATAATTCTAAGAAAAAAAAAGTTCAGGCTATCATTACACTTAATACACTCCCTTCCTTGTTTTTTTTTTTTTTTTTTTCGTCACTAATTCATATCATTGCTTTACAAGTATTTTTATGGATTAGTTGTATTGGATAGTAAAATTTGTCAACAAATTAATAAGTCTTTTTAATAATAGGTTGCAAAAATACTGAGATGAAGGCAACAAAACATGTGTTGCATTGCAGTGACCAAAACCAAAAATACAGAGAAAATGAAGAAATCATGGAAATAAAAGAATCGCAGAAGGATTTGATTCAAATGATGGAGCAAATGTACAACAAAAATAAACAAAATGCAACAGAAATAAAAGAACTAAAGGAGCGAATTAAATATTTAGAAATGAATGGAACTGACGGCACAAACAATCAAAAAGGTTGAGAGAAATCGGAGAAGAGCCATGGATACTTCAGGAAAGTTTTGGCAATTTTTATTAAAGTTGTGGCACTGCTCCTAAGTGGACAATTCACTACATTGTTAAATGACATTTTTTTTCCCTTGGAAAATAACGGACTGTTTTTCAGGCATCTGTAAACTTGTAGGTACTCCTTTCCAAGGAGAAAAAGGAAAAACAAATGTAAAAATACAGGAGAGCAGATGACGCAAGTGGGGGAAAGGAGAGAAGTCATGGTGTGCAATGTTCATTTCTTATTATAAGCTACTTAAGGCTTACTTCAGTGGAACATCAACATAACAATGAAGAGAACCTTTTTATTTTTAAAACCATCTTCATAGAGGGTGACCCTTCTAGCGTATCCTAGACAACGGCAGATAATCAGGTCCCTCTTAACCTTAAATAAACTATATCTTGTGCAAAGCAGGTTCTTAAAAGTAACTATAATAATGTGATGTGTGTTCCTCTATGAGTAAGCCAGTACAAAACTGATCAAGGAACCAAATGTATCATATTGTGTACAGGTAGTATCAAGTCAAAATGCAATAATCCTACCACAATAAACATTTATTTTTAGCATACTTCAATGCAAAAAAACATTAATAGAAATTAGGTTATGAGAAATGAAATTTTTTCTAACAAGTAGAATTATAACTAATATATATAAGTTACATTTTGAGGAAGACAGTTATTTATAGATACAGAGCACGATCCAATGGAATGTTAAGGTATCATGTAATTGATATTAAAGAGAATTTTTGTAAGTAGGCCTATAGAGTAAATATTATGCAACAAGTATACAAATGTATTAAAATTTTGGACAATGTTTATTCATCACTTCATTCTGAAACTATGTAATTTGTTGATATTTTCTATTTTGATTGTGTTTGTGTATACACTACTAGTTTTCAAAGGTATTACTTTAACATGGTATATTAAATATATTAATTATGCTACCTGTGCAAATACAACCATGCACAGCAAGAAGTCACTACAGAGTTTGTATTATTATATAAAAAATGTATTTCTAATTTTAAGTTTTATTCCTAATTATTATAAAATGTGTCACTTTTTTTTAATAGAAATTGTACACATAATTACACAAAATTGCACCTAAATTGATATTAATTTGGTAGAAGAGTTTTACCTAATTATTTGATTCGTTTGGATTACCTGAGGCTCCTCTTTGATTAAGCACTCTGTGTATTGATGCACATGGGTATGTACAGTATATATATTGTATCGGTAATTGTACAAGTATTATATCAAATAAAATTCTAACTATTATTATTTTTCATATTCGTATTCCTTGTTTGTACACAAGAAGTAAAGCTTACTATTTAATCAATTTGTTTATAAATCTATGAAAAATGAATAAAAATAGCAACCCTATTTCCTGGAATGTAGTAACAATTTGTATTGTATTTTCTGAGTAGCATTTTGACCTCAACACCCAAATTGACCTATAGAATTAAAATTCAGGCCTAGAAATGTACCTGAAAAATGAAATATCAGCATGGAATGTATATGTTAAACAAAAAAAATATCCTGAAAATTTACCTGAATTTCATTTGAATCACAAATACAAAAGTTCGTGGGCATACACTCCGTGCATATTAAAGGAATGAATGTAAACTAAAAATAATTATAGTTGTGAATAAACCGGGAAAAATCCATAGTAATCCCATGGGGTGTCAGTAAAGCATTATATGTTAATTCTTTAATATATGACGCTCAACTACAACATCATTGTGGTGTGCCAAACCTTTGTGATGTTAATTTTTGAATGGTTCATTGATCCTTATTCAAATCATTTCTTATTACACTATCATTTGGAAATAATCCAGCAACACTGGGTTACTATATAAAGGTGAGTAAATATTATCTTATTTTTACAAATATCATTATCATAAATTTTAAATTATTGGAAACTAAGAATACTGTACTAGTAATATCAGTTAGCACATTAGAGAATCTGAGCGTTACACATACACTGCCAGGCCCGTAGCCAGGTTTTTCCAAAAAGGGGAGGTCTCTGGTCGTGGGGTGAAGGGTTGAAGTCATGGTGGGTGTCGCCGAAACCCCCAAAGCCAAACGATATTTTTATGTTATGGGTCTAAATAATGCTATAAAAGCAGTTCTGTTTGAAAAAGGTCTGCAGTGTGTAGTTGGGTTGGAAGGGGGTTTTGCCAGAAAAGAGGGGGTTTGCTAATTATGTGTGAAGATATCCATTCCAACGTCCCACAAGCAGCAGGGGCGGATCCAGGATTTGAAAGAAGGGAGTTCACTGTGTTTCCCAAAAAACCGAAAATGAATGAGGGGTCCGTCCAGGGAAAATTTTGATTCCTAGATGGTTGGAAATGAGCTTTCCTGACTTCTGAGAGTCTTTTAATAATCTTTGTCCTTCAAAATTAAAGGTTTTCCCCCTCTTGAAAAAGATCAGGAAATTTTATCTCATTCTTTAGGCCTACACATAGAGAAAACAAAATCAAAGACATATAGGCAATATATTATTATATTCAAACATTGAGTAGTCATAGACTTTCTTCCATAGATCGATGAACCAATAGTTCTGAAGAACGCACTTTCTTACATAAATTATTACAACATCGAACCAAAAACAGTGTGTATAATTTATTTAATTGAAAACTAGTTGGGCTAATCCTAGTTTGTGGGATCTGCCAACATAATATGCCTAGGAAGGTTAGCACACCTTTTATAAGCCAGGACCCAGTAGTATTTTGTTATGTTTCTTAACGGGGGGGGGGGGGGGGGTTGG